GTCTGAATAATTTAAATAATGTACATAATACCTCAACTCAGAAATATAGACTGACCCAGGTGGAGCTAGCGTTCACCTTTTTTTTAACTGCCAACAGAGAAAATTACATATTTTTTGATCATCCCTTACCTCAATATATCTGTTTATTTTGGACTTACAGCAATAGATCTATAGCCTCGTGATGAAAATAGCATTTTCTTTTTAGAAAACAAATATTTCTTTTGTCGATATCATCTCCTTCCCTGTTAATGCACTTAAGCAAATACTTCTCTGCAGATCACAGTTAAATTTTCAAATCAACATTCTGCTGATAACCATGTTAGTCTTATCGAGCCATGCTCAACAATACACATCCATGCCAACATAAAGAATATATGAGACAATGAATGAAATCTAGTACTTCAAATGAAATGAATGAAAATGAAGTAAAAATAAAGAAGAAAAAAAGAAAGAATGAAGAATAAATAAAAAAGAAAGAAAGAAAGAAGGAAAACATAGAAAACACATAAAAAGAAAGATATGAAAGAAAGAAAAAGGACAGTTGCAAGATGAATATAAGATTAATTTAACTGTATATATATTATTTACATGTGGAGTATTGTCCCCATCTTTGTTGTTGTTAAGACAACGTTTCGGCCTTTATACATTCCGGTCTTCATCAGTTGCTTATTGATCCTACAGCGAATTCCGAACAGAACCCTTTGTTTAATGTAAGGGTGTAGATTGTCCTCGTTCCACTGAATATGTCTAGGAATATATATTTTTATTTTCTTATTTTTAGTACTGCTCAGTTATTGCTCGCCCTGTTTACCCCTGATTCCAAGTGCAAACTGCTCGCCCCAGAGATTGAACTCACAATTATTATGTCGCCAAATTCATGTGAAAATTGTGCGAGCAACAAGTGAAGAGTAATAAAATACGAAGTAGACGAGAGATCGCGAGAAGTGAGCAGTGGAACGAAAACAATCTACTCCCAAATATTAAATAGAAGGTTCCGTTCGAAATACACTGTAAATTACCCAGATTGATATACACCTGATGAAGGCCGGAGTTCACAACAGCCAAAACGTTTTGATAACAACAATAAAGATGAGGAAAATAATCCGCATATAAACAGTGCAAATAATGATAACTCCTCATCTCAGAAATTCAGACAGTAATTTAACAGTGCACTAATTTCTGAAATAAAACAATGGAATTATTATTAATTTTTAATTTGTCTTTCAGTGATCCGATTTCTGTAGCCTGCTCAATTGCTAAAATTACGGTGGAGTAATGGATTGAGGAATCGGAGAGCCGAGTTCGAGTTCCACTCGAATCCATTACACGTACGTGCTAATACCCGTGGGAAAGGTGTCAATCCTCTTCTCCTCTCCCAGCTATGTCAACCTACTGCGGGAAAAAATATGCCTCGTCAGTCATGGATCGAGAGATACATGATCGCCTAAGCGTGTATCACGCATGGCACATAACTGACTGACTGAAAATGATGGTTTTTTAATTGCTAATCAAATCAACCATACACCTATATATATCACTTTGCATATTAATATAGGCTCTTTGACATTCAAGAACCTTTGTCAGGACATTTTTATGCATAGATTTTTGCAGTTCTTTGTATTTCTAAGATTTGGGTCTAAAGGCACAGTGGAGTAATGGATAGCGGCTCGGATTGAGGAATCAGAGAGCCGAGTTCGAATTCCAGTGGTAATCCATTACATTCACTAACGTGCTAATACCCTTGGGAAAGTTATGCATCCTCTTCTTCTCCCCTCCCCAGCTATGGGTAAATAGTAGGACAGATCAGGTTCTATAGCCTTGGATGGCAACTGTTCTAGCGCAGAAAGAAATGGCAACCTACCGCGGGGAAAATATGCCTCGTCAGTCATGTATCGAAAGATACATGATCGCCTTAGGTTCTTAAATATAAGTGAAAACATATTATTCGCATTCGACCTATCTTACAACTTAGTGGTTGGAGAATAACAGTCTGCGAATTTCGATTGGGAGGCAGCAGAAATTCGTTGATGGAAAGACGAATCAAAATTCAATAACAGATAATTTCACAAGTAAAACTTGAAAGGTCCCGTGATGATAAAATCGCCATCTTGTTTTAAAGAATCTTTTAGAAGAAAAGACACTTGATGAAATTCATTTACTCGTGTATTTGTAATGAAAACTTTTGCTAGATTGACGTTTTATGGAGTTTTTCGAACTACTTTGAATGTAGCTAGACTTTCTATAACGTTTGGATTAATGCTCCATTGACTGTAAATCCATGTTACAAAAATGGAAAACTTTCAAAATAATGACATTATTGTTCTGACAGCTGAAACCGATTGCCGTTACTTGTTAATTTGCCAGTGCATAAAATAAAAATAAAAATCCTCTTTTCACCACCCTATATGTCTGCTGAAAACGTTAGTTCGAGAAGGCACAAGGAAAATACATATGGAAGCCAAGAGGGAGAAAGAAAGCAACACAAAACTTAGCGAACTTG